AGCCACAAGAATGTTTTAGCTTTTCCTGATATAATTGTGATTTTTTAATAATTATTGTAAATCCATTCTAAGATACAGTACGTCAATCATTATTACGTGCTTGCAAAAAAGGTAGCAAGCTGATCTGATGAAAAATTAAGTGCAAGGCCAAAGAGAGGAAGAAAAGACACCGTCAAAATGAGAGTAGGATCTACTGTGTTTTATCTCGAAACACGCCGGCGGACTAATATCATTGAAAGTGTGGTGCTGATGAAATTAACGAGGAAGACTAAACTGAAAGAAGACTGAATATGTCGGCATTATATCCGACTTTGCTAACCAAGTGCCCTTTCCCACCCGAAGAACTAACCCTACTGCTGTATCGAACGAGGCGTACCTAACCCTACATTGCTCCTCATTAATAAAATCGTTAATCGAAGCAGTAGAACGGAAGGAAAGATGGGAATCAATCTATAAGTACCAGGGTCTTTCGTCGGCACTAACCCTGTGGGCGCACATTGCCAGTTCTCGAACGGCGGGGAGGTAAAGAGCCCGGCGATTCGGCCAATTTGAATCTCCTTTTGTAGTTTCGCTTAGACTATTGCGGGTTGTGATGAGATTTACTGGAGGCAGCCCGTGTCCCTACGAATCCGGGGACCCGTGTACCCCAAAGGAAATCCCTTGAAAAACCCCTGAATCAAAACTTCCTTTTCAACACTATTTCAACTGGAATCGGGAGAACGAAAGGTATGCTTTGGTTGTGTGGGCCAGGGAACCCCTCGGGATCCGTCTAGGTTGCCCAGTGATTGATAGCCCAGACCCGCGTCGGTGTGTGACTTACCGTTACTCAACTTTGACCACATTATTTGGGAGGTTTTGTGGCTGCCTTGAACTCGGCATTCTTGAGCACCGTGTCCTAAACGAGCACATTTTGCGCATTTTGTTGATGTTTACAACCAAAAAACTTGCAAGCATTCGGACCGTTGAACGCAAAGCACAAACCAGTAAGGGTCCCCGGGCGCAACGGGAGTCGACCTGCGGTCCTAGCAGGTGCCAACGCATAAGATGCAACTGTTAGCCACAAATCGACATCACTTTCACCCAATGATCGAGTAGGCTGACCTTCGAGCCAAGCCGAAATTGCTTATCGTATAAACGCCAGTCACAACCGGGAAACTGGACTGAAGCTGTGCATACAATTTCGGTGTACTTGAGCAATTCAAAAACACGGGTAGGAAACTTCACCAAATAGATTGACATGAACTTATGGAATGCTGCAACCCATTTGTCCCACGAATCGAGCGTATGTCGACGGCTGGACTTGAGCTGATGCGGGCGCAAGAACATTTTATCATTTTCAATGACCCGTGCGAATTCAGCGGCCTTACCCGACTTTGCCAGTACAGATTGGATGCGCCATCTACGGACAAAAGTGACATATTGACATACTCGCGCCGCTATATCTTTTCCTTTAGATTCTAAGAAACGCCCCCCCCCATAAGCGTGGTGGCCCCAACATCAAGCGTAATACCTGGTGCGCTACTGAAAGGGAAAACTGAAAGCCTCATCTGGCTGTCTGAACCACCACTTCCGAGACCGGTCACCGGCGCCGTAATGGTACTCAGTGATAACTGAGTGTATGGATAATGGGAAGCCGAATATGTAGGGAGGCTATTGCCTAATGTGGGCTCACGACTCGCGAAACTTAGGCTCTGAGCATTAAGATTTCCACCGGAAATCATGGATCTTTTTCCCAAGCTTGGGGAAAAGACAAAATTGCTCTGGTTGAGTACCCCATAAGCATTACTACGCGCTACAGAACCCATGGCGAGACTACACTCACCCGGTCCTTGGGGGCCGACTGTCACTGTCCCTGGTGGAATCTCTCGAGTAGGTGGCAGGACAACCGATGATCCATGGTGGGTGGCTGTCGCAGGAGCGGCTACACCGGCTGAAATTGGCCCAGATGGGTACGCCATCTGGCTCGTCTGCTACAGCGGGATGCCATCTCCGTCAACGTCAGCGTCGCGGACGGATCCCCAATTGCAGGTGGTATGAGAACAGGCTCACTCACGTCCCCGGCGCAGTCGACAAGGCTGCACGGGGTCGCTTCCGTGGTGCCAAAGCCTTCCGAGGATGCGTTACGGTTGCTGGCGCACGGCGTTTGCGCCTTCCCCGCGGCATGTCCTGGGTTTGCTCCCGCGTCCTGGTCCTCTTGCCAAAAGCTCCCAGCAGCAACGCCAATTTGTTCCTGCACTGCCAGACGCACGACGCTGTCTGATGTTGCTGAGCAGTGACAATGCCTCCTTCAAGGTGAACACCCAGCAACTGGAGGAGTCGATTCCAACGCAAGTCGTCGGCAGACAACACAGCGTGAATGAAGAAGCACAGATATCAAACAACTCTGATATAATGCGATAAAAATACATGTAATGCAAAATTGGTTGAAATGAAAAATTGTTTACGATGCATTCTCGCAAATCTGTACGCACACAATACAAAAGGGATAATTATCTCTTTGCTTTCTCCCGTACAATTTGCCCGAAATATGCATTTTGTCTATACTTACCAGTAGGCTGCCACTTTTTTCTTTTGTTTTCAACTAATAACACTAGAGAACACGCCAAACAGCTCTGTAGACACAACGTTGGGTCTACGCGTGCGCTCTTTGCTCTGGCTGGACAGGACAACATTAACTGTGTTGTCCTGTCAGTGGGGTTGGGGGCTGGAGAGCCTTTAGCTATTGTCCAAGATTGCAGGTCTTCCCACTAAAACCATGATATATGATGACAATTCATTCAACAATATGAAATTCAACAATAAATTCAAATCTAGGCATTTTTTGAGACAATCGTCTTTATTCAGAGTTCACTTTGACAGTAATATTTCAACAATAATGAAGCATTATGAGAAAATACACTGCCTCTTAAAACATCTTTTACGAGTTGATTTTTGACCTACAAGAATGTAAGTCCTTGATTAATATCAAGAAGGAAGTACGTAAAATGGAGTTTAAAGAAACAGTTACAAATTGAAAATCTCGTTTGGCTATAGACATGAATTATCGCACACATTTCTACCACAGATTACCACGGAAGGATTTTCGCTGATGTCCAGTGGCCCATTCTAAAGGAAAAGCGTCAATTTTCTTCAGAGATACGTTGTGTCTTTAAATGAAAGCACAATAATTAGGAATGAGTTTTCCTTTGCAGATAAAAAAGATAATTGGACAATCTTTAGAAAGAAATCGAAATCTTGCACTTTAACACAACTCGGAAGGCAGCTTTTAATAAAGTACCTTTCATGGTATTTTAGGTATGTGTCTCGAAACGAATACATCAAGGTCTTTTAAAAACCAGTTCTTTACTACAAGTACATTCTTACAGTTTCAATTTAACAATTGTGACTACTTACAATTATACAACCTTTCTGAGCACCAGTTTCAAATTTATGTGTTGTAAGGATATAAACGGTTGATTAACACACACACAAAGAACATACACACACTTTTAACTATACGGTCAAAAATTACAAGTTCCGTTGCGGACATAAATGTGAGTAACTTTTCACATATTTTTTTCCCTCTTCATTGGTACATTCTTACTTACGCAGTCAGAGATATAAAAACGTAGTATCACCATGTACAGGTATTTTTGCCCAAATCTGTTTTGCTCGTTTGGAGCCTGTGCAGCCAGATAATAAGGGAATCCAAATCACTGGTGTAGAGAGGTCATCTCTGTAGACCAATGTTAAAAAACTCTGCAGTCTATCACCTCTGATCGTTATAATTGTCGAGAGAAAAACATATATGTATGTGGTGTTCCTTTTCATATATAAGGGGAAGTGCCTCTGATATTACAGAATCGACAATGAAAGAAAACTATTGTTTTTGCCGAAGAAGCTGACTACGGAGAAAGTAAGCAGTTGTTGTATTTGGCAGCTGCTACATTCATTAATTGCTAAAGCGTACATGGGTTCCACAGGTGTCATGTGTTGCGATGGGTTGGAATTCTGGAATGGGGTATAGGGGTGATTTTGACAAGACCAAAGCGTTACCAGTCTCAGTTAACCGATGGAACAGCATGAAAATATTGCTACGTACAAAACTAAGTGTTCTTTGGATTGAGTGAGATGTACGTAAGTCATTTTAGTTAAGTCATTTGATAACAGGTGCAGTCAGGTCAATTCACAAAATAATTTTGTCAAAATACAAGTAAGCCACAAAACTTATTTGTCAAAATGCAAGTCAAGTCGCGCATTATGTAAATGGGTCCTGGCGTTAATTTAAGACTTACAAGCTTTAGACAAATGACCTTCACTCGCTCAATTAGTTAGATGTATACTTACAGTTAATAATTTGATAACAACTTCCATGTGTGCTGCTAAACTTTTACAGCACGTGTTCAGTAAGATTTTAACAACTAAGTGATACAAAAATGGCCTTCTACTTTTTTCAACCTAGTTAGATTATCAACACTGCTATATGAACGTCAGCAATTAGACAAAGGCAAAGTTTCTGCTCATTAAATGCTCCTTGTAAAGTATGGTTAATCATTACATTTAACAATATTTCCCCAAGAAATTGCACTAGGTTAAGGCCTTAAATTACGTACAAGTATATTGTATCGGCCTGCCGCTGCCTCAGATTGAGTCGATATTAATGACTGACTTCAAGCAACAGGCAAGTGATTCATACGTGGCCTCAGGCAGGCCAGGCTGAAGCAAAAGTCACACGCTGAACGGAGTCCTACATTGATTATTTATATAAACGTTATGCCTGAGGATGATTTCCCGTGAATGGGTTCAACTGAGTCGTTTTTCTGACCTGCGTCGGTAACCAGTCTCGATGTTTTCAACAGGTACTTTGCGTTGAGAAGGTGTTAGTTTTTATATATGACGGGTTGTGCTCTTACCCAAAATATATATTTATAAACACTGTACAGTCAGTGCTTGTTCAAGAGTTTGAAAAAAGTTCACAAGCTTACTGTGGTTACTTTATTTTTTTCCCCGCCCGACTTGCATTTTAAAATGTATACCGAGTGTTTTTCCCCAAAAGTTTATGAAAAAAAAAACACACCAAACAAAGCACAAGCGTACCAAGGTGGGACTTGAGCCCACGACTTCTTGCTTATCAGTGCAAACGTCTCAACTACTCAAACACAGAGCTTGCCTGTGTCGGCTGGCTGGTCCGAGTCAGATGTTAGCAGCGGGTAGTGTGAACAACTATTTCTATGGATAGACTGGCGTCAGGGCGTCATATCGGTTACAATCTTAATGTGGGCTCATTATATGTCTCTCAAATTTCTTAATTGAACAGTATTAAATGCCCACTAACACACAACTTGGCGAAAGAATTGTAAATAAATTTGCCGTTTAGACTCCCCCGGAACATCGGATTTATGTTATGTTTCAGATTTATTTTGTTTTATATCAATGCAATGATTGTGTAGTATGTGATGCGTTAATAAATGCCAAAAAATCAGTTTTTAACATTCACTTTGTGAAAACAAGCGTTTTGAAGGAACATTTGAATTTAAACAAAGTGCAGATAGCAAGGAATGTTGGCCTTTACTTCATAAAAAAATATGAGCAGTGTCCTACGGTCACAACGCCGCAGGAGTTTTTATTCATGGTGCTAAAGGAAATGAAAATAAAAAGGCAACAAAAGTTGCGTTTTATTTTAATATAAACATACACCAAACATGCACAGACCCATGTGTACATTAATGCCTGTCTGCTGTTTATTCAGCGTAAAGGAGAAGGCCGCTAAATGAGGTGTAATGATATGTTGACTCACTGTATGCCTTACCATACATTGTCAGATACACTGAGTCTCGTGGCTGTAGAACCAGCAACGCGCTTCCAGACACCTGCTCATAGGTAGCGGAATCAGTACTAAAGCCAGAGACAACCCGGTCGTCGTTTTTCCAAAGATGAACATAGAGACTGCTAGGGTAGTACTTACATACAGAGAACTTGAACACGTAAGTGCCTGGCAAACTACATGTGAATGTACCCGTTGGGAGATCAAAGTTGGCACCCTGCAGGAGCGTCCAGGCATGCTGGAAAGGCAAACGGGTGTTATGGCTCGTGGAAATATCCGAGGGGCTTGTCCGTGTCACAGTGAAAGCTACCCGGTTGGCAGAATTATCTGAATTCTGTCCTGGCTCACCCTTTTGACCTTTGACCCCCGCTTCCCCAGTGCCTCCAACTAAACCAGGCGGACCTCTGGGACCTACCTTACCTGGCAGGCCCATTCCATCGTTCCCTTTGGGGCCAGGGTTCCCAACAGCGCCAATAGGACCAAGCTCACCCTTCTGACCCTTGACCCCACTATCGCCCTTCGCCCCTGCATGGCCAAACTGACCCTGGTTTCCTGGTAGGCCCGGAATTCCGGGTGTCCCAGCAGGTCCCTGGCAGCACATTGGACATACTTGAGACCCAGGACCATCACCGTCCGCAGGAGCCGGCCCAGTAATGGTAGCTCGGAGCTCAATAGAGGTACAGAGAAGGATGACAAATGATAAGGTGATGGCAAACCTGAGATGCATCTGTGAGAAATTAAGGGAATGAAAAAGCTTAGGTAAGTTAGAAAAAAAATGAAAAGGAAAAGCGAGACACACATAATTATGTTGGAGTTTAGCAAATATCTGTCAACACATGAATAATAAGCTGAAGCGAAACTTTGAATAGAAATACATAACTCAGATTAACCTGGGAAAATATTTATCCCCCTTTTCGTCACAAAGCAACAGGCCAGGGCAGCCTCCACCAAATTAAAAACAACAAAGAAAAGAGGAAATTAGAAATCACAACGTCCCACAATCGCATTTAAAATGTTGTTCAAAATCTACAAATTACCGGTGAAAAATGCTGCACCAAGATGACACACAGTGTTGAAATTGTCGAAGAGGCATATGACACTGATTACAGTTGGCCATGGAAAGTGCTCTTTTCAAAGGGAAAGAGCACACGCCATTCTTGTTTGTAGAAACAGAATGTTGATTTCCCACATTGGACGCCCTGTAGTCCCAGGAGTTTGCGCCACAAAACTTACATTTTTTTCATTTGACCGCTTTTCTTGACTTACACCTTTTTTTCAAAAGGTGTTTCGTTATTCCTATAATCAAATTCAGAACTCATGAGATAAAGCCCATGCAGTTTTTGGTTATGGTCCAGATTTCGAGGCTGCATGTGCAATCTAGAATGGCCAAGCTTCACAAATACACAGCAGTCCTAACTGACTACAATTGGCTGGTAAGCATTCTGCGTTAAGCAAAATTCGATGTACATATTATGGCTGGTATGTGTTGTGGATGTGACCCACCAAATTACAAACTAATCAGTGGTGCCAACTTACACTTTGGGATTTAAAAATCTTGTCCCTAGAATTACATCATACAATGGTGGCGAAAAGGGCTTGAAACACCCCTTTAGTTATGAACACCGTATTAAAGGGCCTCTCCAAGTACCCGTGTCCTCTAATGGCATGTAAAGCGACCTCTTTTAATCTCTTATTACTTAGAGTGAACGGTAAAAAACTGTTGCCAAGCCAGTCAAAATGCTGTTCACAAGCCAAGCTTTCAAAAGACAGTTTGCTTGGGATCACAATTATGGCCATGTCATTACACTAGACCAATCAGGTTTTAGATTTTGCTCACCTGTCAACCTTTATTCATTTAGTTATTTATTCATACAGTTATTAATTCATTTTGTTTGTAACGATGACAGTGCAACGCTCGTGTTTCCTAGTGGTCTGTGAACCAGCGATACGCAGTAAGTATCAAAGGAGCCCCCAATGGTAGGGATATAGCGCCCTCTCCCCGTCCATGTCGGGTCAGATACAAGAATGAACGAACTTCTTCGGCTGGGACGCTATCCCTAGCAACCCGGGAACCCTTTTACGCGGGCCACCCGAGCTACGCCCTTAACATGCACTAGGGTGACAAAGTTCGACACGCTGCCAACAGAGGGGCTTGACTAAATAATGCAAATCAATAAGCATATTCAACGAGGTGAATTTGAAATGAAGTGTGTTGCCAATATTTGCTGCTTTCATTTAAATATTCATCATTCTGTCACAGGTTCCAAAACGAAGTCGAATGATATCCTGTTCATTTTGAATTCCTCGACTGATATTCCTGGTACTTGCAACATTCTCCCGTTTCCTGTTAGGCATTTACAACTTTTACTGTTTGCTTTAAATTAATTGCCTCAAGTCTATTTTAAGATAATTATTTCATCTTCCATGAAAACCAAATTGCCTTTTGCTCAATAATATATATTTCTATTCAAAACAAAGGGGACGGATCACAAGGATACTTACTCTAGTGACAAGTGTCGTCTCCGTTATCTCCTGAAGTCGAAAACGAGTGGAGTGTGTAACCTGCAATTTATGTCAATAAAATCACAGGGTGTTTACATAGCAAAGGTTACTGATTGTTAAGGGAAAAATAAATGCAAAGCATCGAAGTCTAATCTAACTATACGGATTTTCCCTTTTTGTTCATGTGATATGTACTATTTCTATGTGTGTCTTTATTAAACTGATTCTTCCATTCAAAGTCAAAATGTGACCCAAAACCCACATTTGTGAATACATCAACAGCAAAGAAACGACTAAAAAAGCCAATGTAACATTACAAAAGAGGGCGTGGTCCTTTCGGTTTGAAATCAAAAGTAGAAGCAAAATTGTCCGAGTATCTTTCAAATATTCTGCCAATATCCGTATTAGGTTAAATAGATTCAAATGAAGCTGTAACAAGCTAGATAGGGGAGGGTGGGACAATTAGTTTATGGGGGCAACTGGCCGACTCTTAGACCAAATTAAATAAAAAGCTTATGAAATTGACCAGTTGTGTTTAAACAATTGTATCCAATTTAGTTCATACATTAAGCTGAACATATATCGAGGCCCAAGAGAGAAATAATGATAAACTTATATAATAAGCTTCAAATCATGATTTATGGTAAATGCCCAAATTAACTGACTCCATATTAAGCTAAAGATCCCCCAAACAGAAATTACCTGACTGCAGGTATAGAATTTTTTTTACTATTTTTTTTAAACTCTGGTGATTCTGAGATAATTACGATTACCAATTTCAGTGTTTTACCATTAATTTACTGACTCCAATATTAATTTCGTACTATTTTGGTGGCGAGTGATACTCTTTTGGTAGCGAGTGATAAGGTTTTGTGATGTGGTCCACTTGCCCCAGGTGTGGGGCTAGTGGTCCAATTTTGCATGAATTTTAAATGAATTAATATTCATGAGTTTTATTAATGTAATTGATTTCAGCTGTTTGCAATAAACAAGCATGTGTTTTGGTCATGTTTCAAAAGTGGTTTTATCCTTTTCCTGGATTATCGAATATGGTTAGAATCAAGAATGTACTAAAGTGGTTTTTCCTCTTTGGTGTCACTTCTCACTGTTGGAGTGGCACAAGAGATTTTCACTTTCAGGTTCTCGTTCTAGTTTCGATGTAAAATGCTCCTAACAAAAGATCACCCAGAAAATCAAACTATTCAGATGAATGGTTTGTGTTTCAAACAGTGAGAAAACATTCAAATTGACTTGAATTCTTTCGATTGCTCAGAAGTTCCAAATATCTCTGTCAGCAGATTGAAGATTAGCCCCCCCATGATTTGCCGACATGTAACAAGCAGCTTTCAGTTCAGCGAAAGCAAAACAAATCTGGCGTCACTAAACACTTCCAGTCAAACTTGCAGCACTAACGTTTCATCCATATGCACAATTAGGCGTCTGGCTTTGCTTGACGGTACATGAGCTAAAATCCCTTTAATACAATAGCCTCATACACAAATCTGAAAAGCAAGGGGAGTATAATAACAAGACCAACTTTTTTATTTAAATGTGCAATGTCAACCCAACTGTCTTGATGTAATTCAAACTAAACACATAAAATAGTGAAGAAATTACACATTTAAACAAAATATAAACAATCCCTCCCCTCCAAAAAACCCACACACACACGAACAGATGTTTGGGATAGGAAATTGGCGCAAAACTTTATATGAATGCATACAATTTAAGTACATTACTTCATCATATGACATGTTGCCTCTGTAATTCTAGATCTCGATCACAAACCTTCAGTTTCAGAATGTTTGCTTTCAAATTCAGGAAATTTTTGAAATGCTCAAGCGATTGGCTACGTTACCAAAATCCAAATCACAGTGATATAAACCTAAAAAACATTTCCTGTTCAGATTTCAAGACAAATTAGATCGCAGGGTGATTCCAACTATTGACATGAGTCTTCCTGGGCATTAGCGTCAGTCTTTTGTCGTGGTAACTGTGCAAAATGTGATAAAATTATTTCCAAAATATGCACATTTGAGAAAATTGCCCTGGCATAACCCTGAGCGCGCCACCAAACTCACCTTGTTAATGTTAACAGCAGTCTTCTCTCCCAATTAATCACGTTTGCTCAACCGCTTAGAAATGAAGACAGACGGCGGTCATTGTGAGGGGCGACGCAGCCGCTCATGCCTTTCAACTGGCCGGCCATTTCCTGAGCAGTGACTGGTGAGCTTGGTCTGGTTTTTGATTGGCCTCTGCCTGCTGTCACTTACATCATCGACACACCTCACACTGATAGGTTATGTTCATGCAATGTTGGCACACTCTTTGGGGTAGAGGTACAATTTAAACTTCGATCACCGACACTATGAAATGAGCAATTTCCATTGGTGGATATCGGGCAGTTGTCGGTGATAAGTTGATAAAACATGTCCTTTTTGGACAGTCACAAACAATTGTGTAGGATGAGAAACCTTTTTTTACGTCTGATTGGTGAATAAAGCATGATGTAGACCATCCGTGCGTGATTCACCGGACGCTGTGTGAAATGGAGAATTTACTCATTTTTTATTGTTTATTTAAACACCAAAGCTTTTGTTATTCAGACTTCGGACATCTATCGTAACAGACGTTTTGTCTTTGCTTCGGCGGAAATATGTACATGCATACTGGGAAATGCAAGAAGCCAATTACTGGCTCTTTCATAGGCGTGTGATTAATCTTTACTTCGTGGCGCACACATGTCGTAGCAGCTAAAAACTGTAGGCATTTCTGAAGGAGAAATAGGCCAACAATACGAGAATTATGACAGATTAACGTGACACCTTTGCTAACAAAGTACGAGTGGAGTCTAGTAAACGGTACGGTAATTTTTATTTTAATTATGTTATTATATTGTTCATTAACACTGCACCCAAATTTTTACCTCCGTACTACATACTGTGATGAACTGACCTGTTCAACTCTCCCGGAAACAACTCTCCCGGAAATAATTGAGGAAGTTGATGTACGTATGGCTCAGCTGGTATTTCCTCTCTCTATGGTAACAACACAATTGATATGACTAGCGCACACAGTACACTTCCAAGTTCACTGATCAGTAGAAATGATATGGACTTTGAGAAAGCACAAACTATTGATAGTATTGGTGTTGCTCTTATTTGTTTTTTCAGGAGTTGATCAGCTTTGGAATTGCATAGAATTCGACCGGGGGGGGGAGAGGTCCCTATGACGCCCATGCCGGGAAACACCAGCAAACTTCTCCTTACCCCTCATTTGTTTTAATTCAGAGAACCATTTTGAGGCAGAAACCAGGCCGTTTACAAGCTTTTCTGTTTTTCACTCATCCTTGCTGTGCTCATGAAATTTTGAGAGACAAGGCAGGGAAGCCTTAAGGTGGTCAATGATTTAAGGGGGAAATCTGAGTGAGGATCAGTCGATTTATTCAGTGGTGGATTATGGTATTGTCTTTTCAAACTTACAAGTATTGTGCAGGAAAAGCTGTCGTATATAGCTTTGTTATTTAACACACGTGAATCTATATATAAAGACAAATATATATTTGACTTAAGTTTTCGGTAACTTAACTCACTATGATAAACTAGATGTATAAGTCTTTTGTGTTATCGGTCCATGCACTGAATTATTACAGCGGGTCGACTTACATGCTATTCTTATTTTGGTGAGTTTCTAATCAGGAAACAAAAGTGACAACAGGAAGGATATAGAACGAGGAAGGACCTGTTTTGTCGCAAGAAAGCAGATCATCTTCATTTATATCGAGGAAAATTTGTCATTCCCTTCAGTTACATAATCCTGTATTATATTTAAACGTTACTTTGAATAGTTATAATTGAAGCTAGTGAAAACCTTGCTCATCATAGAAAACAGTGAAGATGGAAACTTGATAAAAGCACTAAAAGAATATTAAATCTTATAAACTGGTTATTACAGAGCCGTTACCTTTGTGTTTGTTTTCTCCTCTGGATTACTTTGCATTTCTACCTTGTCCATCTTTTGACTTATTTGATTCATCAAATGTTCGACTGCGTAAGTCAAACCAACTCTTATCAGTACACAGAGCATTAGTTTGAGGTTTTAAACCATTCTCCTCAGAACTAGCAGCCCTAGACCAGTAGCTGAGTTTCAGTCTGGTGACGATATGAAATGGAAAGAACAAAACAGTTTCTTATAATGATGCTTCTTCTTGGTGGAACAAAAATCGAAGAAAGACTTCAGGAAACAGTTACAAGGTAAGTTTTTGTGACTAGAAGTGACTCAAAGATTTTCCTTAAGAAAATATTTACAACACTTTACAAGATTTACATAATTTTGTCCCATTAACATAGGCTATGGAAGTTAGTTTAATAAAAATTAATAACTAACTCATTCTATATTCTGAGTACATACAGTGTTACCCAAAATAAACGTCAAATTCCTTACATATGTTGAATACAGATGATTTCTCAATGTTTCACAAAAAATGTTCATAAGGATTATACCAATAAATTTCAGTTAGAAACATATCTCTCTGTTTGTGTAGAAACAAATGGGTGTACATGTTGTCTTTTATTTAAATACTGAACACAAACAGCCAATTCAAGCCAGTGTAAAGACGGTGAAATAAATGCCATGTAGTTGTATTGCCTAGAAATATTTGTCATACAAAACATGAACCCAAAATATTTTATGAATAGTTAGTTATTTAACTCCACTAAAGTTCCATTTTGACACACCAGTATGGGAAATACCCCCCCGGCAGGATGAATACTATCACCATGTTACAATAGCACATGTTGTATT